GCAAACTCCGCTAAAAGGAAAGGTAAACAGCAATCGAATTCGATGAGCCCGATGTAACAGTTGCTCATATTCTCTGACAGCCGAGAAGAGACCATGGACAACATGCCAAAGAAGATATGCGAGCTAGAGAAACGCAAAATCCGTGTACTAACGTCATAAGAAAAATCAGAAGTCAGTTATCCCCCAAAATGTATGACAACTACGTTCTGGTTTGCGGTGTCTGCTGACGACCACTGGATGAGTTGGAGCGGGCCAGGGGCACTTCCCTGTCCCTTGGGTGCCAGCGCATCCGATTGGTTACTCTTTGCACCGCCTCGATAGTTGTTCTCGCTGAGGTGTGCTGGACGACAATCCACTCAAACGGACTCTCACCGAATTACTCCATAGGGAACGAACTTTCTCCAATCTGAGTATGGTATTTCGCACAGGCTCCTTTTCACTAAGTAGACTTATACAATCATAATATTTTGCCCCAGCACTACAGGAGCGCTCTTCGCCTTGCCCACTGCGGGACAATTTATGGATTCCCCGATTTCGGATTCGCTTACCCACAAAATACATAGTACGCAAGATTAACAATTTGTGATTTTACTTTGTGGGAAAACACGGGCGAATGATACGTAGAGAATACACCCCAAATCACCCAACAGCCTTCCAGTGTTTGATTCAACAACGCAAAACGGGATGAGAGAGCGACTGCAAGGCGGAGGAAGCCGGCGTCGATCAAGCTAGGCAACATACATGAAGCCTGAGATGGGGAAGACAAAAGCATGAAGGTGATGAGAAGAAAGAGGTCAAAACTGACTCTTCGTTGAGTTTGCCCTCTAGCTAAATGCAGATTTGCACCCAAGATCTACAGGCCCGGTACTCCCATGGTCCATTGGATTAGTAGGGGATGCATCGCNGCAGATTTGCACCCAAGATCTACAGGCCCGGTACTCCCATGGTCCATTGGATTAGTAGGGGATGCATCGCCGATGCCTTGGGATGACTTACAACTTCGGTATAAATGACTCTTAATGAAATGCGATCGAATAAAAACAAACTTATTTCCTGCACAGATGCGCGCATCCAAGTCACCGTATCGAACTCTACTAGTGGCTTGGCGACAAGTGGCAGTTTGCGCAACTCGTCACACAGTTTAATATACCGTGCACGCTGCTATTATCCGCGATGAGAATGTGAATTAGGCCACTATTCCATTAGGGTGAACAACTGCATAAGGCCCTCGCACAGAACGCCGATTTTGCCTGGTTCCGTCCCCCAAAGGCATCTGCCTGGCGGGCGCCGCACAGCTGCCAAATTTGTCCATTTCCGTCCCAAACAATTGGATTCCATGCCCCTTACAAAAGAACGCAATGATTAAAAATAGTTAATATTGGCAGACGTTTCGTTTTGAGACGCAGAAGTGGCGCCGTTTCTCCAGTCAATTATCTGTGGGCCTCGGGCAGGAGAACATGGCGCTCGTGCCGCTTGCCTCTTGGGATGCAGGGAACGGCGATNATCTGTGGGCCTCGGGCAGGAGAACATGGCGCTCGTGCCGCTTGCCTCTTGGGATGCAGGGAACGGCGATTGACTTCCCCCGACAGAAAACGTTTCATTTCCATAGATGTTCCACAGTAATTCTATTTGTTTTCTGTTTCACTTGTTTGTATAGAGGATTATGTCACGCTTGCCGACCCTTTTATTACTTGTGGAGCCTTCGATTGACTTCGCACCAGACCGCCTCCGCAAGCAGAAATATTTGGTATAATGCTTGGCTGTGAAGTATTGTCATTGTCATTCACTACAAAATTTGAATAGACAGAAAAAAGAATCCAAACCGAGTCTAGAATATTCAGGATCTATCGGATGAATCTCCTGTAGGTGTCGGGGGTGCAATCCTGCTGCGGTCCATTCCGTGCAGCCGTTGGCGATACTTCTCTTGGAAGCTGTATATCTCATGACCACTACTTTTATACACTAAGCTTGCGACCCAATGCCGGAGTGGCATAGTATTGTTCAGGAGAATGCAACTCCAAGCGATGCGTCANCTAAGCTTGCGACCCAATGCCGGAGTGGCATAGTATTGTTCAGGAGAATGCAACTCCAAGCGATGCGTCAGCAATTGCCTCCTCGGAGTTGCCAACGGTGGAATCGATATTTACTCGGTCGAGGAACTTGAGATGCAAAGCCTGTCGTCCCTCTTCATCTCTACGTGTTGTTCTGGCTGCCTTAGCCTCTGTCGCAGCAATTGTAATACTTGTCTTTCTATGTTCGCACGCGTACAACAGACGTGCAGTCCAAGACTTTCGAACCCGCAGGCTGGCCAGCTCAGATGAGAGCGACGCTCCAAGTGATGTCTGCGGCGAAGTTGGTGGGGAGGAGGAGCAGCCACAGCGTGAGCTTCCCCGCCTTCCCAACTTGCCTGCTGGCGGCGAGAAGGAGGTCCCCCTTAAAAAGCGGTTGTTGGAAAGGGTGGGTGAAGCCCGGAGGGGTGGCAGTGCCCATGAAGACCAGCAGCAACGGCAACCGCAAAATTTGAATGAAGCCGCTGAAGTTCAGTCCGGCTCACCGGGAACTCAAGCTCGTCAAGGACAGGAGCAGCCTGGCCCTTCGCCAGTTCTGGTTGGCAGCCCACTCTCTTCAGCACAAGATCGGGGTCCTGGAGAGTCCGATGCAGCAACGAGACCGCTGGATCGCGTCCCTCATCAGCATGCTGCCGTCCACTGTGCATCATGCGCAAGGCAAACACCCTCTATGGGGATGCAACAGCTGAGGGGACAGCTGCAGCAACACATGAGACGAATGCGACGGCAGCTGCAACAACAGCGGCGTTGGACGCAGCGACAGCTTCATCGGTTCCAGCAGCACCTGCAGCGGGAGCGGCGGCACCGACAACAGCTCGAGGCCCAAATTCAGCGAGTCCAAGGAGTTCTATCGATGTTATATCACCCTCAACAACAACTTCTGCTTTGGCATGAGCGACAGCAGCAACTTCTGCGCCAACAGCAGCAGCAGCAGCAGTATTTGCTTCAACAGCAGGCGCATTTGCGCTGGATGCAGCAGCAGCAGCAACA